CTACTAAAACCTTATTAAGAAAAAGTTGTGCGTTTTAGTATAATGTCTTGTGAAAACATTCAAAAAAACTCAATTGGCGAAGAAAATATAAAAGTAAATGACAGATATGAAGGCTTAAAGGGATATTCATATCCATTTGGCTTGGCCTACGGATGTTGGATCTTTCATTTCGGTTTATTTTTTTAACGTTTTAATTATGGTAATTCAATTTTCACGGTAATTCAATTTTCACTAAGGACAATTGTGAAATGTGGTGGTGTAGGTAGCAACATCCTCTGAGATTTTGTTAGGAAAAAACCGTTTATTAATAAAATAATCACTTATTATAAATTAAGTTATAATCTATTATTTTATGTCTGAAGTTTTCTAAAAATATTACAAAAAAATACACTCAAGTTTGGATCAAAGTCTAGGTTTTTATTTTATGATTAAATAAGCTCATGCATAATTCGTATTTACAGAAAACTAATTCAAACAAGAAAAAATGTAAAACCATTTCACGGCCAAAATTCAAAGTTTACCGAACTCTTCAATCTTCTTGATAAGTTTTTGATAAGAGACCAAATATAAAAATAGCAACAACAGCAAAAAAAAAAAAACCAATAGAAAATTGTTGTGCAAATTTAACAATAGTGGATCTACATGGTCATTATCAAAATGATAATTGTTCCACGAGCAATGTTCAGACCATTTCAAAAAGATGCAACTGAAAAATAAGAAGCCCGTTCATACCCATAAATAGAATTTACTTTTGAATGAAAAAAAAATACACAGGTAGAGATGTTGTCAAGCTGTCAATAGTTCATCTTACAACCTTATAAGACGCATGAACATAAAGGCAAATAGTTTTTCCCTGAACAGGAGAAAAATGAGTGCTATACGAAGTTTGTCTTCAAATCATGGTCTGCAACATCGCAATACAATCTAGATTTGCGATGAAATCTAAAACTGAATCAAATACTAATGTATATCCACATTGACGTTCAAAGCCCTGCTTTAGCATGTCTTCTGAATGGAACACAGATAATAGTTCTGTAACTGCATATTGGCATCCGTCATACTCTGACTACAAATTCCTTCAAATAAAAGGGAAAAATCTACCCTGGAGGTCCACAAAACCTAACTACGAGATTTGCATTTTTCAAGTTGCAACAAAACCAAACTTCAGTCTGCACGACTGCCACTGCTACTTGCAGAGGATCTTTTGCCAGTATATTTCTGCAACACATTAAAACAAAATACGTTACTATCATTCAGGTCAATGATACAGATAAAGTAAATGTTGCTTGTGCTTGACAATATGCAGAAAACAAATTAAAGGGGCAAAAAGTAAAATGAAGAGAGCCAATTTAAGCGTAAGCTTACCTGCTTTCCAATGTTGAATGGTATGTATTTGTATTTGATCATGTGTGCAATTTGGCGCCTCATAGTAAGGACAAACAGAACAACCCAGTAACAGAGTAATATTGGCCAGAACACAGGAACATCAAACACAGAAAAGAAAGTCATCATAAATGCTATGCAGAAAGCCTTTGTGAAAGAATACCTGCAACCAATAACAACTCAAATCATTACGCTCATTCGTCAACCATGATTTTTTTTAAACTGTTTTCAACAGACACAGGTGGGCTTATAGCATGTTAATATCTCACTATTGTAAATGACATTCCTTGTTAGACATATGTAAAGGGATATGGATTAATGGCAGCACACTATCTCAAAAATGGATAATTAAACAAATCAACTCACGCCACCATACTCATCTATGAAGTTACTCCAGTTATACAATATCAATCATCAATTAGCCAGGTTTTGCTCCATATACCTCAAATTTCAAAAGGGGCAAGGGGATATTCACATATTTTGTTAAGCAATAATAGTTCCCTGATAAAATTTAGTCATTTGGATTTTTAAAACTAAATCTTTGACTAAGCATGAAATTTGTCAGGACAAATAGTCATGTGTTTCAAAAGATGTAAGTGATTATTGACACAGAATTTCGGTAATGGCAATCAAATTAATTGAAGAAGCACAGCCAAATTGTATGATTCATCATGCAACAGATATGGTAAAAAGTGTTCAATATGACTGATAAAACCAGGAAAATAAGTAAGACATGAAAGATAAACAACAGTTTGTTCAATAGAGAATAATATAAATAGAAAATTTATTATTCATGTAAAATTTTAAAAAGATAAAATATTGTTCCTATGCAATTATCAGCTTCTGTATGCAATGCTAATGACTAAAAGTTTGGAGCAAAATGTCTGTGGCAATTAACTCATACTATAGAGAAACATTTTCATCATAGCTATCACCTCTGTAAAGCTTACACTACCTCTATAAAGCTTATTAGCGTCAAATGAAATACAGAAATGACTCAGAGTCATATTCAGGTAACCGAAATGACAAATGAACATTACAAAAATTACAAGTCAATTTTCAATGAAAAAGAAAGACAAAAGTACGAACAAATATAGAGGCATTGAAGCATCAGGTCGGCAAATACAACGAAGGAGTTCATATCAAACTATTAACATGAACCTCACATTTGATCCAGGTTTAGCTTCAAAATTATTAAAGCAGGTTTTGCGTCAGCATAAGATAATGTTCGTGTTTTTATATGTATGACAATGCTCATGCTGTGTTAAATGTTAACAACCATACTATACCACCCACACAACAAAATTCCTAAATTACCAGAACTTAAACTCAGGCAGTCGGCGAATGAACGGTTTGAACTCGTCAGAACCTTTAGTCGGCAGCAAAGGCCCGTCAGAAGGCTCCATTTCAGGATCGACCAACGGTGACAGAAACCCAATCAACAGATTCAGCAGGTAGATGCCCAATCCATAAGACACGATGTAAAATCCCTGGACATAAAAAACCCGCAAAACAAAGATCGACACAATAACCAAACTCCCAATCCATCTATACGTGGCGTGTGGCGTGGATTTATCCAGATAATATTGAAATAGCTTCGCAAATTCCTGCCACTTTTGGTTCACGGGTGCAGCAGCCGAGGCACTGCTGCCTCCAGTTCCTTCCATTCAACTCACAATCTGCAAACAAAAAGCCATACACGAGACTTACAAACAACCAATTCATTCCAAATCTGACAAAAATATAAACATAAAATAAAGGTGCACGCTATCTAATTTCTTGCACAAGCAGACACACGCCAATTAAACGACACTAAATTTACTTGCATAACGAGAAATGTGTAGTTTATAAATCAGAGGTTCACATTCTAATAATCGTAACGTTTAGTTTACATAGATTCCGATTAGAGGAATTAAAGGAGAGAAAACATGCGTCGTTTTCATAGTTGGAATCAATATCTAGTGTTCTGGTGGCGGTATTTGCAGAATCTGAAAACCCTAAAATTTTGGAGGATGGAAATGGAAACTGCGAAAGAGAATTGAAATATGGCGAAAGAATGAGAGAAGCGAAATGCATCGAAGAATTGGAGCTGACCTGCGAGGACAATTTAGATCTCCAACACGAATCGAAGAGAGGATTGAATTGATGGATGACGAAACCCGCGCTTTGCAGATCTACAACGCGATTCCTATTTGGGCCAGAAGTTTTAGTTTTTTCTATTTTTATTTATTTTCCTCCTATTGTCGTTTTTAGACTTTTATATATATATTTTTTATTATTATTTTGGGAAGAAAATCGTTAGCCGAATCTTAAACGGCATATCTGGTTTCAAGGGATTTTATTTTACTTTTTTTTTTTATCTGAAACGAAGGGCTCGTTGCTATTCGTCTGTGATGTGATCATAAAGAAACGAGCTGAGGAGGTTAGCATCCTTGAAGGGCGTGCAACGTGATGTGTTGTTTAACTTAATGCTGTAAATTTTATACTATTTCATTTAAGATTATTCAACTTCACCTCACATTGATGATTTATTAATGCAAATTTTCAGCAATTTTTTTAGAAAAATATTAAAAAATACTTAAACGCGTAAAAAATGAAATGGTGGAAGTATTTATTCTCTCTGATCCATTATTAATAGTGTCATTAATTTGAAAGATATTGAAAATGATGAATCCCATAACTCAATAAATGCAAGTCATCAAAATTCGGGTTGCCGTAGCCATGCGCTGACTTTCTAACATTTTTTAGTTCACTGCGCTCGTGACATGTTAGTTACTGTTGTAATAACGGATAAAAAAAATTATATTAATCAAAGAAAAAAATTAATATAAATTTAATTAAGAATATTTTAATTAATGCATTACTTAAAATTTAATAAAAAAATTATGTGGATAATTGGGTAGGGTTTAATAGTGTATTATAATGTTTTTTTTTTCAAACTTTTTATCTGTATTTTTAAATATTGTGGTGGCATGAATTTTGTCCCCGAAACTAAACATGAGAAAGGAGAAGTATTTTATTTAATGTTCATAGATTTCGTCATGAGCTCGTCACGAATTATGTATTTATTTTATGAATTGGATGTTTTGCCAAATACTTTTACGAATAATAATGTTTAAGATTTGGAAAAAATAATAGAAAAAATAACATACAAATTTAATGATAAAGATAAAATTAAAAGTTGATAAAATATTTGAATATAAACTATTGTTATTATTGAAAGACAACGTCTGAAATTTTGAGACTTAAGATTTATGTAGTTGTTTATAATTTTCAATACTTATAAAATTAAATATAATATTTATTCTACCCAAGTTTCAATTCTATTGTAAATTACAAACATAATATTCATATACCTATTTTTTACAATTACCTGATAACTTTTCTGTAATCTTTACTGGCAATAATCTTAATCTTTGATTTCCATCGATCGTAGCATCATGAACTTCATTTATCTAATGATACAATAACTCATATACAATAATATATTTTAAAAGCTCTTCAAATTCTATATTTATTTATCATTTTAATAAATTAATAATACAGATGTATCTATTTAATATTATGAAAAACATTAGAATCCAATGTATAATTTAAATGAAAATGTAAAAAAAAAAACAATCTAATTCTTAAATTACGTATCATAAATGGACACTTTAACTAATTGGGAATTATTTAGAACGTTCTCACTTTGATAAAACATTCATAATTATAATCGTTAGATAGTACATGTGCCATATAAAGAGCAATTTTCTTTCTTTCTGTTTTTTTTATTTTCTATTTCAGGTCCCTCGTAACATGTTTCACCATGCATACAAAACTGAAGAATTATTATTTATTTTTAAGTGAAAAAGGTACACTAATTATGATTTACACAAACCCACGTGACCGACATGAAAATGACACCTGTAGAATCATTGTAACCTTCTCTCGTACTAACCGCACCCACTGCTATTTTCTTTTCTTCTTTTTTTCCTTTACCTTTTTTTTCTCTTTTCTCTCAGCCAATTTCTACCTTCAGTAATTTCATTACTTCGTATCTTGCCTTATAATTTTAAAAAATCCGATAATATTAATTGAAAAAGAAAAAAACATTTTTATTCAATCAGACTGTTTTTTTATTCTAAATATTTTTTCTATAATTCTATTATTGAGTTTAGTGAAGTCATAAATTTGTTAAATTTGAATACCAAATTTTAGAATAATTTTGTTTTCTGGCTTTTTAAATTAAATTTAAGATAAATATTTTAGGAAAACTATTTATTATTTAGATTATATTACTCCAATAAATAATTAGATATAAATATGACTGTATTCTCGATATTACGATGGTATTAGTGACTATTTAATATGATTAAGTTGTTGAGTTTTGTGTAGTATTTGTTTAAGTGTTTGAATTTGTTTCAATAAGATGAGACTATTTTTGGGTTTAATTTGTTTTTCATATTATTAATATTATTAAATTGAATTTGTACAGTTACCAAATATTATGACATATCTTTGTTGAAATCTTATTAAAGTTAAGTTAAACAATGTTTTAAATTTTGCGTTTTACTCACGGAAGTTGCAATATAGTATAGAATACACGGTTTATTAACAAAAAGGTTACTATTTACGTAGCAACTCAAGTTTGTTTTTTACAAATAATTAATAACATTAATTCATTTGGTTACAATGATTCATAAAACAAGACGATTTGGATTCATTTCCACCCAAAGACAAGAAGTAAATGTAATTAACATTAACAACAAACAGAAAAACCCAAAGAACAAAATATATAACTATATAGTTTGTTAATATATTAACATTTTAATATATTCTCATATTATTATGCTTTTTAAAGCAATCTTTATAAAACATTTTAATCTATATTTATCAAACTTTTAATTTAAATATCTTTTTTCAAGTCTTAATAATTTTCAATCCAACACTGACATTCTAATTTATAAAAATTGTCGTTTATTTAATATTTGTTTATAAAAATCACAGTATGCGTAGAATCATTAAAAGAGTGTATGCAATTATATATTTCAAAATGCAAGTGCATATTATTGGTTGCAGTGCAATTTTATAATAAATTACATACCACAAACAAACAAAAGACGAAAATGTCATAATTTAATTTCATTTTGTGATGAAAAAAACATTTTATTTTTCATCGAAATATTGTACTTATTGCGTTAAGATAAAAAATTATAAATTATGATTTTTTCAAAGTTTTAGTCATCAAACTCTTGTACTAATGGATTATTATAATTTCAGAATTTCTTATACAGCGATTATTAGTACTATCTATAATATCAGCGGTGGAAATAATGTTATAATTAAGATCTCGTATATCACCTAAATCTTTGACGATATGCCGTTATGATTTAAAGTAATTTATTAGTGATAAATATTGATTTTCATGAAAGCTACTTAATCAAAAAGATACCCACTTGCTCGTAAGAGAAACGATCCATAATATAATAATTACGTTTATGGATTATAAGTAAGGTTTATAAATCATGATTAAATACTAATTGCTTTTGTTTCAAAGTTAGTTATAAGTTACATACTAGCAATAACTAATCATATTTATTTGTAAGCATCAAAATGAACAACATTAGGATAAACGAATTGGAACCCTCCCGACAATTTATTTCAGCTGTTTTTTTTTTAAGAAAAAAATAATGAAAGTTATAAGTATTAATTAAAAGAAAGATATTACATTACAGAGATACGAAAACATTGTTGGAGTAAATGATACGCAAAACTGAAAAACTTGTGCTAGGGTTGACAGAAGATGTTGTGTGATGGAGAACCAAAAGATTGAAGATGTTTTGTAAGTAGATATTGTTGCTTAGGTATTTTTTTTTATTTTATTGTTTTTTTGTTTGCTTTTTACAAAAGTAGATTTCAGATCTTTGAGCACACAAGACAAATATAGACGATTTATTTTTATGAATTGGCGCGCAGTTTAAAAGTGGTCACAATTATTACGCGTAATTCGAAGCATACGAGAAAACAGCCCGAAAAAAAGGACCGGGCCAATTGGAAGAAAGGAAAAGTGCAGAATGGTGCGTCCCACTCGCTCCAGTTCGATTCTTGTGGCTGAGGAAGCCAAACTAATCAACGCCAATCTAATCCATCCCAACCACACTGCATCGAAAGATCAACGCTCAGATTTCTCCCACACCGCTCGACTCAACTACGACCAACATCTCACCGTTGATTTAATGCTCTCGTACACTTTTCCTTCTTTGTCGTTATTTATTTCCTTCATGTCTTTCATTTCTTTGCTTCTCAAACTCAGTGCTTCTCTTCACAGTTTCGCCGATTTTTCTCTTTCGCCTTTCTCACTTTTGAAGGTACTTACTTACTGTGCGGTTTTTCAATTAATTTGTTCGTTGAATTTGTTGTGAAATTCTGTTGACTGCCTTTTCTGGTTTGTTTTTGTTGAATTCGGTTAAACTGGAGTTGTTTCGATTTTTGATTTCACGCTGAAAGATGTTGTTACTAATATGTATTCGATTATACGGTAGTGATTTCTGTGTCGGGATGGATAGAGTTGGATTTTGCTTACTTCGTGTGCTGGTGTTGAGTTCTGAATCTTGCGATCTAGTTTTGTTCGTTTTTTTTCTGTAGCTGCTGCATGTGATGAATTTTTAGTTGTTGGTAATTTATGTTTTTTGAAACATTTGTGGATAGGGGAAATTGGTGGTGTGTTGTTTAAGGAAATCTATCAATCATGATGCCTGATGATACTGCTGCAGAAGCATGTCATAGGTGGGAGGGGGTGAAGCTCAACCAATGAACAGGAAACCCGGTCGCGCGTGATGGCTCATTGGATAAGCAAGTTACAAATCACATCCCCGCTCCTGCTTGCATCGTTTGGGGTGTATGATTGTGAGCTAATGAAGAGAAAGAAGACGGCGGTGCTGAGGCAGCATGGTTGGTGCTTGGTGGGATAATAGTTCTATGCACGCTGGAGTTGTTGGAGAAGCAGTTAGGCCAAAGTGTTTTACGCGTTCAACATCGAGGAATGACAATGAAAAAGCGAAGAAGCATGCGTGATTCCAAATCCTTTCCTACACTGTCCAAGGAAGGGTTATCCTTGTGAAAGAAGTTTGGTGGAAAATTGCCCAAAAAATCTGTCCAAGGAGAGAGACAGCACGAGGAAGATGGGAATCTGAAACTGAACCCTAGCTCTTGGAAGATGGCAAGTGGGTGATAATGCATCAATCAACAACGATAAGGGACTGGGGTCCCGAGCAGAGCTTATCATCAATACCGGAAAGGGTGCACGAGTGGTGGAATCCGATGGGCTGAACATGTGAAACCGTAGTAAAAGAGTGTAAGGATGTTGTCCTCAAGCAAAGTTTAAGTACCGTCATGGACATCTGCTAGATGGCAGAGTGATCTCGATGGCCGTTTGAGGGGTGAGTATGAACAGACAGAACCATGCGGAGCTGGGAGATTTGGCAGCACACTATGGGATGGATTTTGTGTAGACAAGCAGCTTCTGGTACAAGCCAGTGCAACTGGACTAGCGAAAGGGAAAGCTGTTGGATGTGGGTCCCAACTCACGCATGAACCTTTTGAAATTGTCAATCCACTCAATTTAGCAGCCAGAGGGCGATTCGAAAGTCCGATAAATATACATAAGGGGGGGGGAGGACCCGTTTTCGTCTCTTTTAATCAGCGAAAGAAATGAGCAGCCGGGTCTTAGAATCCCCAAAGTCCTTTTGTCTATCAGAGGGTGGATCGTCAGATCAGGTGGGATATGAGAGTGGAACTGTTGAGCTGTGGCTGGGAGTGTAGAAGAGGACGGAAGAAGGGCGGGAGGGGAGCCTGGTCATTTGGTAGGGGCGATCGCTTATATTTGTTGTTGTGGTAATGCACTGAGTATTGAAAACTATGTTTCTAATCCAAATATTACGTGCCAAGACTGACCATCCTCCGAGGCAGATAAACTACAAAAGTTGTGTGGAACTAAACTCTGTGGTAGACCAAATTCCCTGTTCTATTCATGAGTGTGGAGTCTATGAAGATATACACCAGTATAGATTCAGTTGAAGAATCGTCTAGAGGACGTCCCAAATTTCCCAGGCAACTCACCATATTCTAATGTCAAAAAACATCTGATGTTACCTTCTGCGGATCGCAAAGGGGAGGGTCAGTTACATTCAGATGAGATCCACGGAGGTAGCAACGCTATCAAAGTGTCAAAGAGAGAAGCGCTGTTGGCAATAAGGGGAGGGTATCCCTGAAGGTGAATGGTGTTCCATCTCGCAACGGCCACGAGTGGCCATGCTCCTGAACTGGAAGGTATAGGAAGCTCCATAAAAATGGAGGAACAGGAAAATGTCCACGTATTTCAAATTTCCAACTGCCTAAAGAATGTAGTCAATCTGCTAAACAGATACTATGGACATCGTGCTTTACATAAGAATGATATTCTCGGTTATGTATGCACACTCGGTTGAAGGATGTGCCATATGCCTATAACTTAATGCTTCATTTAATTTTCAGATATTCTTATTTTGATTAATTGAATACATAATGTTAATTATTTTTTTTTTCAGTTAACTTTACTCCTAGTATTAGTTTTTGGAGGATGATGTTGTGTGCAATTTGGTGGTTTTTTGGCTATACAGCTGATCCTTCTTCCTGTTGTCTTTTTCAGGTGATGTTTCATTCCAAACAAATAAGGTAATGTTTCTAATTATAATTTGATCTTCTTCCTACAATGACATCAAATTTTCAATCATAACTTTCTTTCTCAAGCATTTGGATGATTTTAATGCATTTTTTTTTCATGATTGAAATTTAGGTATATTTTGATGAGCTTACTCATAAATCTATACAGAAGAGAAAAATAAGAAGAAAAAATATAATATATTTTTAAGATAAAATTAACTTATGTATGAATTAATTTATAGATATTCTTATATTAAATTCTCTAAAAGATAAGTTTAAGGACTTACGTATCAAGGACTAGCTTTTTGTGAAAAATAAAATTGTCATTTATTTATACATTCACATTGGTTATGATGAATGCTGAACAGTGTCATACCGAGAAGCAGCTAATTTGAATGGCACTGTTCCTTCGAACCTAGACTTTTAATAATACAAACATGCACCAATATATGTCTTCATTCGCATATGTAGTTGATTATTTAACAACCACGTGCCTTGTAAAATGTGATACTATATAAAATTTTGAGAGGCTAATTAGGTAGGAGTTGCCAAATTCTTTTATTTTGTAGTGCTCCAAGGATAGTCAAAATTCGCTCACGTCTAAAGTTGCAACAATTTCTTCCAGAGAGAAAAACCTAGCAAAATCAATGAATACAGCTATACCAGACATGAACGAAGAGCCTTGTGACCTTCTTGCTGAGGAGGGTCCTGTGGTTGATAGGGAGGCTAGCACATCACGAACCCACAGCCTTGAATTGGATCACTTTCTTTCTCATGCAGATGAACATGTAAGGTCAAATTCTGGCAATAGCTCTTTTGGATCAGATCCTAGCAGCAGATGGGTCAAACGACTCAAGTTGGGCACATTGGGCTCTGCTCATGGGACTGAGGGTACAAGAATAGGAGAACCTTTCTCGCATGAAAAAGCTAATAGTATATTTGGCAAAATTATGAAAGATAGCAAACTCCGTTTGGAACCGAAAATGATATATCAAGCTGAAGGACAAATGGTGCCGCATATACCTGTAACAGTATCAACAAATGGCAAGTCCACTTTAACTGAAGCGAAGAAAACTGTAGAAATTACCCTTTCACATCCCTGGATTCAGAGATGGAGTCATAATCGTGCTGCTTCTTCCCAAAAGAGGCATGAATTAGGGGAGCTTCATGAACAAAAGTCTTCAAATGGCGTGCTAGAAGAGTCTCAAAAGAAACAGTTTCCGAGCATTGCTGCCATGGCTCTGATGGGAAAGGCAATGAATAGTTTGAATCCATCCGAGCTTATGAAAAAGGGACCAGTGATAGTTTGGAATATGAAGGGGTTTTGAAATCGTTGGCCATTGTTGATATAAATTTTCTATGGAGTTTATGGTGGGTGGGCGATTCTCAGGATTAGTCCAAGAATACATATAAGATTTGACATTATGGCTGCTTACTGCTGTACTCGAAGTCTTGGACAAGTTAGAAATGCTAGGGGCCGTGTGTAGCCACAATAATGTTGAATAGTTGCTCATCTTACTTCCATATTCACCTCAGATTTGGCTTAGTCAAAACACAATATAAGCGCTGCATGCATCTGAAGTAGTTATGTATCAGAGCGTGCATTTTTGTGTATGTATAAAATTATTATGCAATAACTCAGGATGGGAGAAATGTCTCAATAGGGATTGAATCCTTTCTTACCACCCAAGTCTACTGCCAACTTAAGCATATATCGTGGTGAAGGAGTTCATATTGGGTTCAAATTTTCATTCTGAATAATAGCTTCTCAATGCAATGATGTTGTGCCACTTTTTAAGTAAAAAGTTATTTACGATTACATAGCAAGGAAGAATGAAAGAGAAAGGACCCTTACCACCATGTTTTCATAGTATAGATTCACAGAGTTTATACGTGATTATAACCTTTATCTTACAAATCGATTTTGTAAAATTAAGAGATAAACCACTACCGGACTAATAATACAAAAAAGTACTCCTAACTCCTAAGATTGAAATTCTCAGTCACAGTCTACTTTAATATAAGCGATTTGTAATTAACTTATCGAAAGGAAAATAAAGAATCACAATTTTCGGTTGTTCAATAATGTTTTCAGGAGTAACCTCAAATTTTAATTAAATATTTTATGAAACGGCTAACCACCTTACAAGTGAACTTTCTAAGAATTAAAATTAGTGAAACATAAATAAGTTATTCAGAAAATATATACACTCGTAATTAAATGTTTAAATATTATAAAGAATTAAATTATAACGTACTTTTGAAGATTTTTATAAGATAAAAAGTTTCACACCATGATTTGGAAGAGAATGGCTTTTAGCACGATTTCATTTACTATGGTGTAGGGAAGACCGAGAAAAGGTTTGAAACACAAAGTATCCCTATTCCCAAAGGATAGAAAGACATAAAGCATCGGAAAGAAAAGATGGGAACATTTGTTTGCAGAATCTAAGAGGAATTTGGTCCATGATACAAAAAGCCATTCATACCCTATTGAAAGTAAATGGCATCTGCATCCGTCTTTTTTGTACAATCTACGAATTGCATACCTACAATGTCTCCACAAACAAAAATTAATGTAAGATAGAACACGACACCGCAGGCTAGCCACTGAATGAATCATACAAGAATCATAATCGTCTTTATGCAAGTATCCATTTTTTTTAAAATAACAAAAATTGCTAAGAATAATCAACATGCCATGTGAACTTTTTTCTGATGGCTATTGAATTATTGGGTCATCGATAATTTGATTTAAGAATCAATGTACAACCACTTTTAGAAGTTGCTGTTTTGGCTTGTAGTGAAGGTGTTTTTTCTCACAAGTGACTAAGCATTTTCGTAGACACCAATTTACTCATTTTTCTTGAACAGGTAAAAATCATTCCACAAAATCTATGTTGTACGTGTCAATCCTTAGGCAATCAATTAATACAAGCATGCAACCTTCTAGACTTACACAACAGCGCTTGTGCTAGTTTCTTAATTCCTTATTGCACACTGCTATAACAAGTACTTGTTTAAATTCAGAATAATTATGGGCTATTCTGTTGCTCAACGTGGAAAGAAGAAAACAGTTCACATCCAGCTTTTCATTTTATTTACTTTTATGCAACTTGATCTGATTTCACATATTGTTTGTTCATTCTAATTTTACATGCAAGACATCTTTCTATTTTGCATATATAACAAAAGGGGGTTCTGATTTCTCAATTTCTGTCCCCGAAGACGGCAAAAGTTCCTTTGAGTGCTTTTTCGAGCTACTTCTTGTCATCAATCCATGCAAATAAGCACTTCCACCCGTTTATATGACAGTGCCATCTTCTATTGTTGCCTTCTCCAATATGACTGTGATTCCTGATCGAATGTAAAATCCATCTTCTGGTCTATCTGCTTCTTGAACTCCCTACAGACCAATAATTTGCATGTTAATAGGTAACATCATATCATAATACTAATGACTTCTGCTTCACAAATATCCAAGATTAGCAAAATATAACCTAACAAAATTGGCTCAAATGTAAAACCAAGATAAGACAAACATGCTTACATCTTTGTTCGTGATGATGACATCTTTCCCTATCTTTGCATTCTTGTCAATTATGCAGTTTCTTCAACAAGGACAACAGGTAATAAAGATCAGATTATTAATAGGTACATGTTAAACCAAGTCTTTATCATTATAATGACACATTGTAGTTAGTGTCAACTTCTAAAACCAACATGTATTGTTCATCTTAGGATGAGATTACCTAATTTTTGTATTCCTTCCAATCCCAATGGGAACCTTCCCCTCTGCCAGCAGAGAAGCAATTTCTGATTCAGTTTGGTAATAGTCAGCTCCCATCATTACAGTGTCCTGTAAAAGGTGGTTTTAGAATTTGAGATGGTATGAATCCCAAAACAGAAAGGCATAGCAATTAGAATACTAGGTTTAGAAATTGTGATAGTTATTACCTGGAGCTCAACACCATAATCCAAACGTGAACGTTCCCCCACTATGGAATGTTGAACGATACATTCCCTTAGGAAACATCCATGGGAGATTATTGCATCCACAATCTGCGGAGAAAATCAAGTATTGTGAGTGACACATCTCACGAAACTACTAGAAAAGTTTTCCAATTTGTGGACAAAATCATACCCGGCATTTGTCTATCTTTGTGGGTGGTAGGAATCTTGGAGAGGTGTAAATGGGTGTTTTGGGGTCATAAAATTTGAACATTGGATTCTGCAAGAGAGGAGCACAATACAGATATTAGTTTCAGGACACTGACAATTTGCTACATTCTATCAGCTACTTGAAGTCTGAGTTTCATTGTAATTTAACCATTACTGATTACACTGTTGATTTATTCTCCTCTGAATTAGTATGCTACAATTTGCAATATAGACTGTTATTCACTTATTCCCTAACTCCCAAGATACAACAGTTATAATATGTTGATTTATTTATGGTGACCTTATGCTAAAAGAACAACCACCGATCTGTATCACACAGAAAGCAAAATAAGGGAAACTTAATATATGCATCTCTGATAGTGTGCCTATACCTACAAATTAAGAATACCAATAAATTACAAACTTGACAAGAGTAAATATCTTGACCTCACCTCTTCAGTAAGAGCCAAGTTAGCATCGTAAAATGATTTTATTGTTCCAATGTCTTCCCAATAGTCATTGTATAAATACGCCTGAAAGAAGATAACAGACATTCAACTTTTGTATTGTTACCTCATTTAGCAGTGATCAGTTCCTTGCAAATGCAAGATATTCACCCTTCGAGAATAGATCCAAACATTTGAAAGGAAATATGATTAGTGCAATTTCTCTTACCTGGACATTGTGTTCCCTCACAGCTGCAGGAATGATTTCAGATCCGAAGTCATTGGCTGTAGGATATCTCCATTTCAAAAGTTTGAGTAAAACATCAGTCTTGAATACATAAACCCCCATAGATGCAATATATGGTGACTTTTTTGCCTCATGGGGTAACAACCCGAAATCAGAAGTATCTGCTTGCTGCATACAAACAACAGGAACACATAGTTACAATGAGAAACGACATAAATATACTACGATCACATTATTATGCTGTAACATATAACTTAATATGTTTTGTACGTCACTGTGTGATGCTATCCAATGATGTATGACAATTCATTCTGGATATACATATATATATATATATATGTGTGTGTGTGTGTGTGTGTGTGTGTGTGTATATATGTATGCATGTATGTATATATATATGTATGTATATATATGTTCGGTCTGATAGTGACCAGGAACCTATTTCAGTAGAACATTAATTGGCCTAGGGACTTACCATTGCTTTTAGATCAGGACCCTTTGGTTTTTCTGAAAAATGGATGATGCGACCTCTGCCATCTACCTTGACCAAGCCATAATCTGATGCACGGCTGAAAAAAAGGTGATTGGAAATGAGACTTGAATAATATTAAACTTGGTCGAATGTTGTGTCGAGGAAGTTATTCTATGGTGACTCCTTCCTTTCCAATGGAAGAGAATATATTCTCCAAGTAACACAATGGTATAAAACAAAGAAACATGCCACTTCAGAAAGAAAAAAAAATGCAACAAAAAGAACCACAAGTAAAAGGTGACTAAACACACCTGTCACCTACAGCAGCACATGATACTGTAATATCTGCATTTCTGTCAACGTGACTCTGCATATTTATTACAAAATAGATAACCAGTAAATAAGAACTGCGAAAAAGAATGAAGAAACACTCCTGCATGTCTAGGCAAAATTGTTAAAAGACTTTATGCAAGAGCATAAGAAGGGTAGGAGAAAATTGTTAAAAGACTTTATGTCTAGGCTCTTAATTAAGAACAATTAACCTGCATACCTGCACAAGGTCCATGTAATCCATTCGGTATAGATGATCTCCGGCCAAGATCAATACATTCTCAATGTTTTGGTTTTTGGCATCCTACAACATTTTCAAACTATCATCATTCTATTCAACTTGAGAGGAAAAAAATATGAGAGGGGCACGCAGTATATAAGAAAGATTATACCTCAAATACCCATGTAAATTGCCTCACAGCATCTGCGGTTCCTTGGAACCATTTCTTTCCAGCTTCTCCTGGAGTTTGAGTAGCCGCCAGAACCTATTAAGTATTTGAGTTGTTCTGTCATATTAAATCATAATGAACAAAAACAGTGACAGGTCAACAATCATTCTTGTGGCTTATACTTCTCTACCAGTCACAGCACATAAAACAGTATCTCCAATAAAAACATAATACAATTTTATCAACACTTTACCATTTCATGTCTTATTCCCCACAGACATATCTTGCACAAAAAACCAACCAGAGAATGATGTATGAGTCATTTATGATCTCTAACAATCACCATCCTATTTTGGATACATACCTCCACACATCCATCGCCGAAGTTGATTCCATTTCCAAAATAGGTGCGGGAGATGTGACGGTTGAGGGATGCAGAGTTGAATTGGGTCAGTACAAATATTTTGTTGAGGCCACTGTTGATGCAGTTGCTCATTGGGATGTCTATAAGCCTGTAGCATCCTCCGACAGGAACCTACAGAAACATACTTTATCATCTCATCTCATCATGAAAGTGGAACTCCAAGAAAGAAATGAGTTTTACTCACAGCAGGTGTAGCAGCTCGTTTGGTGAGAGGAA